ATGTATTTTATCTCTCTCCATACCCCCTCCCTGCCCTCCCATTCTCCATCCCATTAGCCATTTATGTTCCATTATTACCCTTTCCCCCATTGTATCCCCGCATTCTATCTCCCTTCTCTTGACCCAATCCCCATGGCCCCTTACTAGTTTCCTGACCTCTGTGATGCTTGCAAAAATTTAAGTAAATACAAAAGTATGAATCCCTATGGCTTTTTAAAATATCCTTAGTGATCTTTTCTATTTTATTTATTATTCTTATTTTATGTGTATGTCTGTATCGGTGCTGGGAATTGAGCCCGGGTCCTCTACAAGAGCAGCCAGTGCTCTTAACCGCTGAGCCATCTCTCCAGCCCCATTCTTAGTATTCTTTATCTCTCCTCCATCCTTATCCTTCTGTATTACCTCCTTCTCCCTTCCGTATTTAAAGTCCCTCATCCAGTTTTTCCCCTTTCCCACTTCATAGCACCTGTGTGCTAATATCCCCCTCTCCAGAGCTTATTCTCCCTTTCCCTCTCCATGGATTCTTTCTACTTAGATATAGTACCTCGGGTAGTACCTGGAATGAAGCTTTTCCTCATTAATAATGTTGGGATAATCAGATAGAAAACAGCCTGATTTCCCATTACAGATATTGCTATCTGGGTGAGGAACTAAGGCTTTGTGCCACACAACCTAAGGACCTTGCAAAGACTTTCCCATGGCAACATATGTTTGCTCAATGACTGGAACACTGAATTCTGTAACATTTCACTGAAGCTGGGGTGGTTATGAAGATAGAAAGCCTGAGTGTGGTCTTGACATGTGGCAGCAGTGGTAGGAAAATGAGATAAATGTCAGAAGTGCTAGGGTCCACTTGACAGCATTGTGACCCAGGCCAAAATATTTTCTCTCTGTGTCATCTGTAAAATGGGTGAATTACATTACACCAGAGGCTCTTACAAATGCAACCTACACCTAGGAGGTATTTTGGCATTTGTCAGACCACATTTGGTTGTACAAATTCTGGCAAGAGGGCCACTTAATGCGTTGGGACCTTGAAGGACAGATCAATACTACAAAGAATTATACTGCATCCTGCCATATGTTTCATGGAAGTGAAAACAGTTTATATTTATCTGAGTCTAGAACATACATACATTATACGTATTGAAATGAATTTTTTCCATGGTAGTATTGGTGCTTATTAACATTACCTAGTAAAAAGGAAAAAGATCATACCTTTTCTGGAATGTCACCATGAATTATTTACCATTTCAGAAAACTGCTGCACCAACAGCACAATATAATCATGGCATAGTGTAGTTTTTATGTTACCATGTTTTCTGGCCCTGGGGATTAAATCCAGGGTTTTGCATACATTAGGAAAGTACCTTACCCGTAAGGTATATCATCAGCCATTTTTTCACTTTTCATTTTGAGACAGGGTCATACTAAGTTGCCCAGACTATTCTTGAATGTGTAATCCTCCTTCCTCGCCTTTAATATAGTATATTTCTATCACTTTCTTCTCAGGACAAGAAGGGAAAGAATTTAATAACTATAATAAAAACTATGTCTTAGTCGGATACAGTTTTAAAAATACTGCTTTGAATTATCTCCCAAGTCCTTCCCAGTTTTAATTTTCAGTGAGTGTGTGGAGGGTTGAGTTGGATTTCAGAGGAAGGAGAATGCATTCTAAGGTGGAAATGATTGTGGTCACCTGGCCTGCTCAAGCAGAGATTAGAGTGGCCCCAGACAAGTCAGGATAGAGCATAGTCTTCCTTAGGGCATTCACCATGCCCAACTCACTGTAATTGAAGATTTCTGGGGGCACTGCCAAGGCTGGCATTACAGGAAATTGCCTGCCAATGGGATTTCTCTGGTTACTTTCCTCAGTGACAGAAAACAGTGATGCCTTCCTGTCTCTTAGCTGGAAGGTGTCTGCCTCCTTGTTCTGAAGAGTTCCTACAAAACCTTAGTTTCTTTTCCTTATATTTTTGCTCAGTTTCTAGCACTGGAATTATTTCTCCTGTGTCATCCATCCCCATGACCTTTATATTAGAGAGAGGGAAACTTAGTGTACGATAGACCAAGTTTTTCACTCTTGCTTATACTAATTTTATGAGACACCCAAGCAGAGGCCATTTAGATATATAAAAATAGAAGAAAGTTCCAAATAAATGTCACTTCAATTTTGGCAAATTGTACTGAGTCCTCTCATTTTAAGGATATGGCTTTCCCCTTTAATAACATGCCTTATTTTCTCTTCCTACTAATTATGAAAATTCATTGAAGACCGCTTTAAAATGAAGAAATGTATAGAGAAGCAAATACAAAACAACCATAACTCCAAGAACTATAGTGCTCAGGATGGAACAATGTGACAGCAAAGGTGAAATTGAAATTCAGTGTTGGGGTGTCTCTTCCTAATCCCCAGCTGCCTCCTCTTGGAGCACCTCTAGATCTCCCCCTTATGAAAAACTTGCCTGTCCTGTATACTATAAAACAGAGGCCAAACTGGAACATGTACAATAGCACTTAGCATGTCAAAGGCACAGAAGAGAGATAAAATATCTCATATCAGGAAAGTGTTTGGAATCTAAAATAGCAATGCTTTGTCATAGCTCTGCCATCACTACCTTATTATGGAGGTGTTGTGGTGATAAAGTATTGTAGGAATGTCGAAAGAGATAAGAGACCATCTGAGAAAGTCACAGTGTTCTCTGAGAATTAGGAAAAGGCACACAATATGCAGAGGAAAGAATGATTAAGTGTGAGGCCATCTCATAAATATGCCTTTCTTGTTGGAAAAAAAATGGCCAGTATTAAACAAAAAAAAAGTTAGATGATACTAAATCCATTCCAGAGATAAAGTTCTTATTGAAAATATTAGTAAGAATTTATGTTTAGTTTTTTACCCAAGGTGGATATGATCAGAATGGCAGTCTTCCCCCATTTGGACTCCTTGTATTGAGGCTCTGGTAGAAAGAGGACTTAGCAAACACTAAAGCATGTAGGTTAAAGACTTCGGAATTAGTTTTTATGCAAATCATAGGTCCATTCCTGTGGTCATCAAACGTTACTTGAAAATCTTTCACTACTTTAGACATTGAGGATACAATATTTACAAAACAGATGAAGTCCCTAGTGAAATAGAGTTTGCATTCTAGTCAGGGAAAACAATGCCTAATGCTGAAAAGGAAACAAAGGAGTAACCAGAGACCACTTAAGGCTGAGTAGTCAGGACTCGCCAAACTCAAAACAGTCAAACTGAGACCCAGCTGATGAAAACAGGTCAGTAATGAAGAAAAACAGTGGGGGAAGAACATTCCAAGAAATGACAACTAGAACAATGGTCCTGTGGCAAAAAGAGCCTATTTTTTAAAAGAATAGAACGAATATTTGCCAATATGATTGAAGTTAAGTGAGCTAGGGAGAGAGGGAGGTAAGTTTCAACATGGTGATAACATGTCAAGCCACATGAAAGCTCTGTAGAAATTCAACTAGCTACCATCATCATCCTCCTCCTCATTAAGCAGAGGGGAAAATGAAGTGAAGAGGTCCAGGAATACCATACGATGTCACCTGAGAAGTTGAATATGCCACTGTAAGGTTTGAATGATGTGCTGGAAGTGAATCCTGAAGAGATGGGAGCAACATTAAGGGTGACTGTTTTTACCTGTCATTACGTTTCTAGCACGTTCTCCCAGGTTCTCAGCTACAAGTACAGCTTTCACACAATGAGTACAAATCCATAAATCACTGGACACCTGCTTCCACACCAGCCTTGTATGAAGATATTCTCCTGTATTTTGTGACTGGAAGTTCCCCCAATAAGGTAATGTCTATGTCACGGGTCTCAAACCAGCTACCAAACTGGCTGTTTGGTGAAGTATAGACTTGACCTAGAAGGGTACTAGTAGAAGATGAGATTTTCTTTCTATGACATCAGTCAATGAAATCCGACGTGCAGTTCATTACTTTGTTAAAAGGAATGTTACTAAAGGTTAGACTCCCTGGGGTAACATTGCTCCCTGGTTCATATGATCCACTAATGTTTTCCCTTTTTTATAGGGACAGAAGTCCTATGGAAAGCTGTGTGGGGAGCAAGACTGCAGTGGAGGTTGCAAATGCTCTCCTGAGAAAGGAGCAAGGGTAAGATCCTCATTGCATTGTTGAAAGACAAATTGTCACAGGGGATGCTATCTGTTTTATCTGTTTACTTTAAGATTAAATAGCATAGAATTTACTCTTATGACCTCATGGCACAAGCAAAGTGATGAGAACCAGCTGGAAGGAGCTCTGCTCACTAAGAATAGGCAGAATGAGATCAGTCAAACCTCTGAGGGACCATGAAGGGGTTTCCTTCATTGACTTAATGCCAAGGTTTCCCCACAGTGAAACTGGAGTGTTTCCAAAAGCCAGTTAGATTGTGCAGAATCAGATTATGGTAATGTTTGTAGATATATGAAAATTTTCATAGCTCATGTATATACACTTCGTTTCTCTCTACCACTCTGGGGAACAGGTGGTCCATTTTTTAGCTACAGACTCCCAAATCACTGACTTGTTGGAGAAAGAGTCAAGAGTACAGGATAGCTACAGACTCCAGAAATACAGGCAACTCTAAAAAACGGTTTGTAGGCACTCTATTAAAATAAAAGTTATTTTTTAAAAATATGATGTGCCCAATATATTGTTGCTTATTAATGCTGCACCATTTAAGCAATCATATAAATTTCAATGCACATATTGGCACAAATTTTCCATCAGTGGCTGTATATACCTAGCCACCAGGAGGATCTTTATCTCTGATTTTCACCAAAGAACACCGCATCTTTTGTATAGAAAAAGTATCCAAGGGTAATAACTTTACTAAAATTATGCACGTGCGCGCGCGCGCACACACACACACACACACACACACACATATATATATATATATATATATAACTTATGACCGCTGTGCAAAATTCAGAACTTCCTGCTTCCAGTATTCTGTATGGACTATCATCACACTCAAATAAGCCAAAGAGCTTACACTGTCAAAAGAAGGTAGTAGCATAAATAGGTCAACCAAATCTTCAAAAACATAGCCAAGCAGGAAACATGGTGACTGCTTCACCTTCTCTTTCATTATCTTCCATTTGCAATAAAGTGAAACGTCAAACTATGCCAGAGTCTGAAAGAAAAGTGTATAAAACCATCTCTTCATCAAAAAGGATCAGATCCATTATACCTTAAAGACATGGACTTAGAGAATCATCAGGTATCAGGAAAAGGAAAGTATTTTAGTGAGTTTCTCATCTTACTCACTGATTGTACAGAGGAAACAGAGGAAAAATTACTTCCTGGGTCACACAGTAAATTACCCAGATACTTTTATTTCTTACCTGTTTGCTTCTAATACTCACCCATCATTGCCTCCCAGAGACGTAATGTTCACTGTAGCCACCAAGGCCGATACCTTGACCTCTGATCTATCACTGGGAAACATTTTAGAAAAAAAAATAATTCAGGGATGGAGAGATAGCTCAGTGGTTAAGAGCACTGGCTTCTCTTGCAGAAGACCTAGGTTCAAATCCCAGCACCCACATGGCAGTTAACAAATGTAACTCTAGTTCCTGGGAATCCAGTGCCCTGTTCTGTCCTCTATGGGCATTGCACTTACATAGATGGGTGCACTTATATACATGCAGGCAATAGACTCACACACATAAAATGAAATTAATAAATAATATACTAAAAAAGAAAAAATAACTCTCCAATAAGTTCATAATTGCATTATTTTTAATGTATTTATTTATTTTGGGGGATATACCACTGTGCCTCTTGGTGTCTAAGACCAAATTGTGGGTGTCAGTTCTCTCCTTCCATCATGTAGATCCCAGGGATAGAACTCACATTTTTATAAGACTTGAATGAAAGCACTTAACCAGCTGAGCCAGCTCACTGGCTCCTGAATTCATTCATAAACAATGCACAAGCAGTACAGACGAAGTAAGTTTATCCCTTAATGTTCTCTTAGTACTCCCCCTATCTATGTGAGGATTTTTTTCTGTATAATCTGTATAATTTTTTCTGTATATATACCTATACAAAACTATCTTGACTTTCTGGTTTTATTTCCTAAAAGGAATCCCAATGTGTATATATGTATATATTTCACTTAACATGTCTTTAAGGAATTTTTTTTCTAGTTGAATCCAATCATGTCCCTTTTGATGGGCGTTTTAGGTTGTTTCCATATTTTTGTTATTTCATAAAAGGCAGTGCTATCTATGGTGGAATTAATTGGGCAAGCTTCCTTGAGATGATATCTACAGAAATATTAACGATCAGAATTATTAAATACACATCTTGGCTTTCAAAAGTAAAGTATCCCATAAACGATCTTCTAATTCATATGATCATTTGCCTTGTATGTGAGTGTCTGTGTTTCCACCCTTTTGCCAATACTTGACAGTTTCATTAATATGATGAGTGAAATCCATCCTCATTTGCTGACACCCTGTGAACTTCAGCATGTTTTTGCATTTTCACTGAACTTTCAATGAAAAGTCTGTGTATTTCCTTAACATATCCTCTAACTGCTTTCCTAGGTGATGATTCGTATCTCTGCAAAGGTAGAGTAAATAAAAATCACCCATGTGGAAATAGATGAAATTTGAGGTTTGACGCAAAAGAACATTTCTTGATGGCTTGTAGCGGGTGGGATATGGACTTGAGAAGGAAATGAGAAGGAAATGGGGAATTGGAATCAGACTCCACAATTAGGGAATTGAGACATGCTGGACTGCTTGTTGCACTGGGATCAGTTAAATAGTAGCTGATCTGAAATGAGGACAGTTCTGTACCAGGAACACATGCCTGCAACAACCTCAGTGTGTAGCCCTAGGCTGAGGTTTTGATTTTTGAAGATGGAAGGCAGTAGATTTATTCTGTGAGGAGCCTTCGTTGAGTTTCAGGCATCTGGAGCTCAAGTCTGCTTTCTCTTATGAAAACATCTGTTGTTGAAGGGAAAGGGGATGGAGGAAAATGGACTATCACTTCACAGAGTTTCCTTTCAGTATTTAAAGGACACAGACTCCAGTTAAATGCATTCCTAAGGCTTCTTGCAATGTCTAAAGTTCCTAAGAACATTTGTCAGTTATTGAACCACACTAACCTACTAACCTGTATTTTATGAATCAAGGGCAAGAATGTTTTATTTTTACAAATAAGTAAGGCCTGTGCCCATAAGGCAAGATGTGACTATGGGTGCTTAATGACACTCAGGACATGAGTCCTGTTTTGTCACCGTCCTAATTTCCCAGGGCCAAACAAGATTGTCTAAACTGGCCTCAGCACTATTGACCCTGCAGGACAACCTTTCAGTCCCCCTTTTGTGCTAATGTCAGAAAGATTTGAGACTGTTTTCCTTAGCTGAGCAGAGGGTGCCATTTGAATTTCAAGCTGTTTTTCGCCAGCTGGGAAGGGAGTATAAGATTGGGTCACTCCTAAGCAAAGCTGCAGCCCTGGCAGGCATGCCTACTGCCTTTAAGAGACATCAAGCACATAACTTGCTGGGCAGTGTGTACTTTTCCTTTGCCAAAGGCCTCTTGAACTGACTAGGACATTTACACAACACCTAGCATGCCTACAAACTGCAATGTAACCCTTTTTAGCTGAAGCTGTTTCAAACTGATTTCACCAAGGTATGCCCTGTCTGGTAAAAGTTCTTGATGAATGTGTGTGCATTGACTCTTACCTTACTCCTTTACTCAAGGACTGTACTACTGTCTGCATGCAACAAAGGAGTCCATATGTGCCATGCTTAAACCATGTAACTTAAGAGCCTGGAGAGATGACTCAGTAGTTAAGAGCACTATCTGCTCTTGTAGAGGACCCTGGTTTGGTTCCCAGTGCCCAAATGGTGGCTAACGGGGGTCTGTAACTCCAATTCTAAGGGATCTGAGGCCCTCTTCTGACCTCCATGAGCATTGTGTGACATGGGTACACTTAGATATACGCAGGCAACATACTCATACCATAAAATGAAAATAAATAAAATCATTAAATCACGTTACTTAAATCTTAGTCAGCTTTAAAAATGGCAGCATCAGCTAACAAACCAGTGTGGATGGTGGAAATTTCATGAGGTCACACCATTAGATGAAGAACCACAGGAAATCAATGGCTGCAGAAAGAGGGAGACTCAGTTTTCTCTAGGGACGAGCTCCCTGATAGTTTATCCAAGTGATCAGCCCTAAACACATGAGTACCACTAAACTGATTCAGTAGCATGTGTATATGTTGTTTGTGTATACATGTATGTATTGTAACAATAATAAAGAAGAGGTCTGGCTATTGAGATGGAGTGTGTGAAACATAAGAGGAATTAGAGGGGGAGAGAGAAAAGGATAGAAATGGTATAAATGCACATTTATGACATTCTCAGAATTTTCTAATTAAAAATGGCCATTTTATTTTATTTTATTTCTGTATGAGTGTATTTCCTGCAAGTAACTGCACCCATGTCATGTAGTGCCCATGGAGGTCAGAAGAAGGTGTTGGATCCACTGCAACTGGCATTACAGACAGTTGTTAGCCACCATATGGGTACTGGGACCCAAACCTGTGGGTCCTCTGCAAGAGTATCTAGTACTCTTAACTGCCAAGCCATCTCTCCAGTCCCTGAAAAATGGTAATTTTTTTTAAAAGATGGTTTATCTCCTAGTTTTAAACAAAAGTTTGTGCCGTTTTAAACTACTAAACATTAAAATTTAGATTTAGAGTTAATATTTATTTTTCTATTTTCTTTCATGGGAATAAGTTTTATTATCCAGAAGAATCAGTCTTTTGAGTTGGTCTCTTGGCTTTGTTTTGTTTTCTTTTCCTGCCATTCGTTTGACATTTCCAACCCTTTCCAGTCACCTGTTAGCATTCCCTACTGGATTTGAAAACTATCTCTGCATTATAGCCATCAGTGTATGTTTGTCTGAAGTTGAGGATGGGAGAATGAGGGCTGTTTATTTTGTTTTGAAGATAGTATTCCTCAACATTATTCAGGGTTTTACCCATTTTCACAGCCTTGTAGTGTTAATGTACAACATAGTAAACACCTCACTATCCATGGTTATCTAAAGGCACATTAACACATCATCCAATGAAAT